AAGACAATTTTAGACACTAAAATGGCATGACTAAACAACTGACACTGTACGTGGCTTATCATCTATTTTATTTTAGGCCTGGACCTTGGGATCGTCTTTCGTTGCCTCGTGGTGGAGACAGCAACAAGCCAGCAACCTGGGATCCTGCTAACCGTAATGCACTGTCTGACTGGAACAAATACTCGGGTATTATTTTGTATTATTTTATTTTGCTCACTTTAAGGTGTTTCAATGGATTAAACAATGAGACTCTTTTCTTTTAGGGATGCTGTCCTGTTCAGATGATGAGATGCCTCCCTCAGATGGTGAAGAGCATAGTCCTCCCAGCCGAGACCAGCCCCACCTACGCTTTGAGATCGCTAGTGATGACGGCTTCAGTGTAGAAGCAGACAGTATTGAGGGTAGGAGATCATGTCTTTGACTGTGGTTGATATGAAAATATTTGAACAATTATTTTGTATTTGTTTTTAGCTATTGTATTTAATCAGTTTATTTATTTAATTTTTTTTAATTATGCAAAATACATGGCCAGTAGGTAATATTTATTGTTGAAATTGTTCTTAATTCATTTGCCATTGGCAGGCCAAAGACCTAAATATGTGATGTGTGCATGTAAATTGTAGTGTTTTTAAATTTTTTTTTATGTATTTATGAACCAAAAAAATGATCATATTCATTCTTCGCATACACAGTTGCTTGGTCCGCTGTTATCGAGGGAGTCCAGGAGGCCCGTGCTGTTGCTGGCCTGAGGCAACTCACTTTTTCTGGGATGAGCGGGGCACGTGTGATGGGAATGCTGTACGATGCCATAGTCTACCTGGTGGAACAGCTCCAGGGGGCCAATCGCTGCCAGCGCCACACCTTCCGCTTCCACAAGCAAGCCAGTCAGGAGGAAGATCTGCCCGTTAACCCAAGTGGCTGTGCCCGCTCTGAAGTCTACCTAAGGTCAGTTCACTTGTTTAACTGTCAATTAATCAAAAAAAGTGCTGGTAACAGTAATAGAAAAAAAACATACTCTATAAAATACTACTACTCTGTGTGTCTCTCTCTCTCTCTCTCTCTCTCTCTCTCTCTATATATATATATATATATACATAATTTTATAGATATATATTTACAATTTATTAACTTCTGAAGCCCATTTTTGTAGTGTCTTTTCAATGCTTAATTTGTTTGTTGCAATAACATAACACTACTACTTAATAATAATAATAATAATAATATTATTGCTGTTGTTGTTTTTGTTATTTTAATTTAAGGGCATTTCCCAGCAATAATAATTAATATGTGATTATTTGCTGTTCATTTGATTAATTATCTTGTCTGCCACAATAATAATAATAATAATAATAATATTTTAACTTTTAGAAGATGACAGTTTATTGACTTAAAAAGCCACTTTTTTAAATGTCCATTAAGTACTTAAGTTGTCCGCCTAATGTCATATTATTACTACTAAATAATAATAAATTTATATTATTATTGTACATGATGACAAACAATTTGACTTGTAATACTACTAATACCACCACCAATAATAATAATAATAATTATTATTATTATTAAAGAGCCTTTTCTAGCAAACTGATGTGTGATTATTTGCTGTTCATATGATTAATTTATGGCCTTATTGTGTAATTAATTCAGTTGTGTTTTATAATTGATTGACAGTCCTAGTTCACAATCTAGAACCAGTTACTGGAACTTTGTGCCCTTAAATAAGGAAATTAATAGCAGGTCGCTGTTAGGGGAATGTCCCTATACCATTAACTTCTATAGAAAGAGGCTAAATGACTAATACCGAGCAACAAGAATGTAGGTGTTTTAAAGTGAAGAAAATGTTCTGCGCTGTGCTTCTTGGTTACCTTGCAGACATGGGGTGGGGGTTTGGATGTGTACTTGTATAGGAGAGCAAGAAGAGATGTTATCTAGGAGCACAAGTTTTGTGATGTAAGTTTGCATGCCTAAAAATGTCTTTTCTGAGTATAGTTCACACCTACTCTTTTATCTGTTTCGCAGGAAGTCTACCTTTGATATGTTCAACTTCCTGGCGTCACAGCATAGACAGCTTCCTGACACCGACCTGTATGATGAGGAGGAGGATGAGGTTCTTCTCAAATCCACCAGGTCAAATAAGACTGTATTACAACACTATGTGCATAAAGTCGCAGTTGAAAAGCCATTCCATTGCTGATTTGTTTTTATTTGTATTTTTATAAAGAATAGTTTTTAAAAATATTTTAATAGGAGTTATTATGAGAGATACTCGAGGTAATATTTTTGCTGAAAAAAAAAAAAAAAAGACTGAAAAGTTGATATGATTTTTATGAAAAATGATTGATATGAAAAAATATAAAAAATTTTGTTTGTTTGTTTTGTTTGTTGTCATGACAGTGTTCTCTTCATATTCCCTTCCCCTTTTTTATCTTTTACTGTTCATATTTCCTCTTTCTTGGTTATTTCCCTCAGTGTTGCTCTTTTTTTTTAATGATTAGTCAACTGTGGTTTGGTTCACATGACGAATAAATTCAATTGCACTTTGTAGGCGTGCAACAAGTTTGGAGCTTCCGATGGCGATGCGCTTTAGACATCTAGAGAAGACATCCAAGGAAGCGGTTGGTGTCTACAGGTAGGTTGACTGTTTTTAAACGTTAAATGAGGAACCGAGTCAGTTTCAGTTCTGTCCCAGCTCCCACATTTGAGCAACATCAGTAGAAAAGATGGGCATGTCTTTATATTTGGCAGAAGTCAAAATTCCATTATGAGGCTATATAAGATGAGATGAAGTCACCAGTCGCATGAAGGAAATGTTCACCTTTAGTTTCCAAGTGATCTCTCAAAAATGTACCTGTGAAAACCCCCCGGTGACATGGCGATCTATAAAGATGCTAATCTTTAGATCTGCTTAAAATATTGGTCTTTCTTTTTAGCCCTACCATGTCTTAGACGCAGCCAGCGAAAATATAATCTTTGGAATCCATGCTGCAATCCTTTTCCAGTTTCTTTTCATCTGCTCTCTTGGTTCTCTTAAGAAATTATTTTCATTCAAAACAGGTCACGTTCATTCCTGTAACTTATTCTTGCTGTAGGTCTGCGATTCATGGAAGAGGCCTGTTCTGCAAGCGAAACATCGAGGCAGGAGAGATGGTCATTGAGTATTCAGGCATTGTCATTCGTTCTGTTCTTACGGACAAGCGAGAGAAGTATTATGATGGCAAGGTATGTAGAAATGTGCTTTTTTTTTTTTAGAGCATATTTGTGTATTTGTGATCGCTAATTACCACCAGGTTTAACAACAGAAATGCATTTTGGATTGTCATGGCCCTCTGTTTTTACCCATTTTATTTGTTATATAAAGAATAAAATAAAAAAGAACTCATATTTTGCCTATAATACAGAACTACCACATTTTGCTATAAGTTTGATTGCATCATATAATAATTGCTGTTAATAGTGTTCATCGTCTGTTTTATTACGTCTTCAATAGATTTTTTCCGTACATTTCTGCCATATGTACATTAACTGACAGTCACCACTGATAAGCTACCACTAAATATTGTAGAAACTTAATTTGCTGTAAAGTTGCTTTGCAATGATTTGTATCGTGAAAAGCGCTATGCAAATAAACTTGACTTGACTTGACTATAAAAATTTTTACTTTTATTACCAGAATGCAAAAAAAACAACTTCTTACTGTAATGTAAAAATATATATAAAATATTTTTTATCACACACAGGTTTTGTTTTTGTTTGTTTGTTTGTTTTTTCAAAAAAAGTCTATTTAAACAGGTTTAGAAAATTATTTAATTCTTTAGTTTAAAACAACTGTTTTCTATTTCAGTATATTTTAAAATATATTTTATTCCTGTGATGCAAAGCTGTATTTTTAGCAGCCATTACTCCAGTCTTCAGTGTCACATGATCCTTCAGAAATCATTCTAATATGCTGATTAGCTGCTACGTTTCTTATTGTTATCTATGTTGAAAACAGTTGTGCTGCTTAATATTATAGGCCTTTTTCACGGTCCGCGTTCGAAAACCGGAAGCTTCGAGTAGTTGTGTAAAATAACTTCCGCTGTAGCCTGCATGAATGGCAATGCCCATAGAGGTTGTTGTGATTTATTAATGAACAATCCATCATAGACGTTTCATCAAAACATGTTAACCACAGTTTTCAAATATTAATCGGCTATGACGAATTTATTTAAAATTGTATTTATTTTAATTTAATTAATAATATTTAATTTATTTATTTGTACATAATTTTCTGTACTATATTTGGGTTAGAGTTTGAATATCACTCTTATACCACCTCTTTCCTCTGCTCTTCCTACCAGGGCATTGGTTGCTATATGTTCCGCATCGACGACTTTGACGTGGTAGACGCCACGATGCACGGTAACGCGGCGCGGTTCATCAACCACTCCTGTGAGCCAAACTGCTACTCTCGAGTCATCAACGTGGAGGGTCAGAAGCACATAGTCATTTTCGCTTTGCGGAAAATCTACCGTGGAGAGGAGCTGACCTATGACTACAAGTTCCCCATAGAAGATGCCAGCAACAAGCTCGGCTGCAACTGTGGTGCTAAGCGCTGTCGGCGCTTCTTAAACTGAAGAGCAGTGCTGGAGAAGTCGATGGAGTTTGACGGGTAAAAATGGTCGACCGAGGCTTGACGGGTAAAGGGGGTCCATGCTGAAGGTTTCAAGCTTAACAGTCACCACTTCAATGTCAAAGTCGTTCAACAGGCACATACAAGGGCCACCAACTGTTGTGGAGCCATTCACGCCCTTCAACCAGGATTCCTCCCGATCAATTGCCATTCAGTCCAGTAGAGCAGATGAGATGGGAGCATGAGTGATGATGTCTGGTAACACGGCCAAGGCCTTTTCAAGAACATTTCCCACCATGCTGCATCATCTTTGCTTTATTAAAAGTTTTATCGGAATATTAGTGGGTTTTGAAACGAGTCTCGGTTTCGGTCATAGCCTTTTTTTTTTTTAAACCTGGCACGAATATTGAACTCTAGGCAGAGTCCTTGTATATTTTGCAACAAAATTGTGACTAATCTTAAATTATGTCTGCAGGCTTTTTTATGCTTTCCAAAAGCTGGAACACGCTGCCAAGAGTTTGGGCGTTCTGTTGCAATGAATAACCTTTAATTTCAAACAACCTCCCTTTTTCTCCACCCTTGAGCTGACCTTGAAGTGCTGGATTCTTACGATCTAAACAAAATCACCTCTGTGCTTGAGAAGCATTTTACTGTGCGGACCACATAGTGTGTGAAAGCTTAGCGGCAGTGAAGATACTGTAAAAACATGCATATTACTAATGAAATGATGTGAACGTATTCAGATCTGTATCTTATCAATTTTATTTTAGATCACACTTTCGTGTTTAGCTTAGAAAGACTCCCACTTCTCAGGACAACACTGTAAACCCCCTCAGAACGACCCATGGATCCACTCCTTGGCAGTCAGTAAGAGACTCTGTTGTGTTTTACACTTGTCTGTGACCGCTTTCTTTCGCTTAAACTCTTTTAATCTACTCAAATGCTTTATTTTTAATAATTTATTTTCGTTGTATTTTTACAGGCAGGTCTGACTTTTCATTCTGTTTTTGTGGGCTTGTTCTGTGGTGTAACTGTATAAGCGTTTTTTAAACTTGATGACCTCCTCCATGGTGCTAAGCCCAACATGAATCCTAAAGAGGATCAAATCCATACTTCCTCTGTTTCATGCCATGTCAGAGATCCGATGCGAGCTGGAGTTGATGCACCCCGTTACTAAAATAGCAAAGCCAACCATACACGCTTTCCAACAATGAGCCCATAAATGTCAATGGTGTGTTGAAATTCGGAGTACTCATAAGCGGCAACGCTTTAGCATGTTTGTGCTTTTTATACCTCTTGAGAGACTTGTGTCGAAACAAAATCATGCCTGAGTGGATATTTGTGTTTCTTTTCGTCGTGTAGTAGAGGACACTACTTAAGCTAATCGTGACTAAATGCATCCTCATTGCGTCAAGGTGTGATGACGTTGTGGATTGTTCCTGCAATAAATCATTTTTTGCCACAATTGCACATACAATTGGAGCTCTACATTTATCTAGGGAGTTAGAAACTGCTTAAAGTGTCCTAGAGACGTAGGAGCGTGAAGGCGATGTATACTGGTGACTTACAAAATCTCTATATATATATATATATTTATAGAAGAGTTATTGAAACAGTTTTTCAGTAGACGGTGGCACTCGGCACCTTAATTGTCCTTGAAAGATTTGGGAGTTGGTTCTCTTCTTCATGCAGGAGAAAAATCAACAAGCTGATGCCATCGTTCGGACTGTAAGGGCGTTCTGTTTATTCCCGTTTAACTTTATGGGAGTTTTTACCCAAAGGTCTGTGCTTTTTGTATGTGACCAAGGTCTTATCAGAGTTGAGGATGAGTTCTTGCAACGTGGCCTTTTTACGAGGTGATGTTTTGAGCCAGCTGTTTGTTTTAAATGTCTTAGTTGTCTGATTTTATTTGACGTTCTCAAAGGAGAAGTTTCCTCCCACTAAATCACGTTGTCATCTCCTGCTTTTTCCATATTCTGTGTGTTTGTGTGGAGGGGGAATCTCCATCAAGATCCTGAAATTTAGCATCTCTCAGATTTTAATCAAACCACCCCAGACTTGCAAGGATTCTACCTCAAGCTGTTCAGACAACATCAAGTAATACTAATGCAAAACTAGATTTGCTTGGTCTGTTCTGTCATGCAGAGTTGGCTTGTGTGCAATGAAGGATGCAAAGCACTAGTCAGGACCTCCTGTGATAATGCATCTCCCAGAGCTTCTTGGGAAAAGAAAATCTGTCTGTTCCTTTGTAGGTTATTTTAAAAAAACAACAACGTTGTGTTGAAAAAGACTTAAAATGGAAAAAAAAAAAGTGTCTTTGCCACCTTGTACAAACGACCCCTAAGTTTGTAAATAGTTGTATATATATTTCTAAACCTGTTTAATTTTTCTATGCACTTTTTTTATTTATAATGTTTTTGCTTAATAAAGATGTACAATGTTTGAACAAAGTTCAAGATTTATTGTGGTATTTGTGCTGAACGTACAAAATAATCAATTGTGCGCCGCTAGTAACTAATGATATATTGCTTTCAGAAAGGGTTTGTTGCCAAATCCGGTTTAGAAATTGAAAACATGTAATATTGGTTTGCCAACAATTATATTCACAAGATTTATAATTCATATAAAAACTTTCGAAGAATTTTTTTTTTATGAATTATAGTAATTTAACAAAAATCAAAATTATGAAACATTAATAGTGTTATGTAGTGTTAAAAGTAAATAAGCGTGAACTAGGATAGAATGGAGGTAGAACATTTAGGGGAAACTCCAAGTGTCTTGTCTTTGATTGTAAATGCTTCTATATGGCCTCCAAATGCACATCTGTTACCCATTGTTAACTGAATGAAGGAGTTGTTTTCGTCCAAAATAACCCTAGACGTTCATATTGTGTGCGTTTTTCAAGCACTGCATGCTTCAACAGCTATCACTGAATGCTGAACTTATATAGGAAAAAAATACTCTAAAACAACAATTTTCAAGTTGGCGATTTCATATAAATGCACACTACAATTTGATTCATATGAAAATGCTAATTCACAAATTTGCCCAAACGTAAAATAGTTACGAGGTTATGTTGAACAATACAGTATAATAAGTGAATTACTGTTTTGTGTTCTTAAAATATCACATGAATTATTCTTAAACACCCGCAGGAAGCTTCGCCAAAATCTCCACTGCATCGTTGCGACTGATAGCAGTTAGCAGCTCAGCGAGGTGGCTGACAGTCCAGTCTGGGTTTTTGGTGACGACACCCTCCAAAACAGCGACGAGGGGGCTTTTGTGGTCCTTCATGGAATAGGCATAATTGATCCAGGCAAAGGAAAAGGAGCACTGGGCGGCAAGGTGACGTGTGTTCTTGGCACCAGAGATGTCCGGGTCTAATACCAACACAAGCTCCTCAAGAACATCCAGGTTGTTCAGCACCGTTTTGAGAGGTGCATCCTGGACCTCAGGTGCTGTGAATAGATTTACAGAAAATCACCAGTTTCTCACTTGGAAAATTACTCAAGGAGTAATCAGGAGTTTATCTAGGGTCATGTAAAACTAGTTTGTTCTTCGTATACCCACCTAACAGATGCGACGATCCAGTTACGTGATCATTGTTACTACTCTCTTTGATTATGTTGTATGAGATGGCCTGTTCATATCTGCCAATGCCCTTTTTGGACAGGCTTTCATGACTTGCTCCATTACAGCATTTTTTTAATTCTGTTAAACACAAGAGAAGTTCATGTTTTGTTAATCTTGTGAGATTAATTTTGCTTCATCGTAGCACTCAAGACTTTATGTAGCAATAATAATTATGTAATACTACAAAATAACACATAAAATGTGATGTTTATAACCTCTGTTGTAAAAAATTATGATTTCATACAAGTGCCCATATTTCATTGGTCAAAAAAACAAACAAAAAACAGTCCCGTCCCAAACTCGCGTCAGTGTTGGTGTGTTAAAATGCCCAAACAAACAGAGCAATGTTTTAATAAAGTCACTAGAGTAATCTGTTTATGAAAGACATATGTGTCATGTTAAACTACCAATCAACCATTAATTGATTTATTATTTTATTTGCATAAAGAATAAATTAAGGAATAAATGAAGAGTTTGGTTCCAAAACGCGATAAACGCCATTTTTTTATAAAAATTGAGTTTCCGCCAAAATCAGTATTGTATCTGGTCGGTATTGAAAAGTCCATTTTTAATTTTACGCAAAATGCGATATCCGCCGAGTTATTCTGTCATGTTTTCTCCCTTTTTTTCCAAACCGCGACAAACGCCAGTCTCCCTTTTCTGCAGAATGCGATATATCACCTGGCTTCCTAGTTTTCCTCATCTATTTTG